AATCGACGAAAAAACCTCACACGACATCTTCAAGACTGCACCTTCACGAACTACCAAAAGCGAGAGAGGTCTGTGGCAAAGACTAGGGTGATAAATGTGGAAAGCCAAATCCATAATTCTAGCTCCCCCCAAACGTTTTTCCTTAACTTATCCAAATGAACTTTACATGCCACCCGAACAAAGAGGCAGCTTTTCCGCTCTTTCCATTAGGTATTAATTATGAAACCAGCCTCAAACCATTCATTCTGACAGGATTCCCTCCACTCCGAGCAGACCGCTGCCGAGTCCGTGAATCGGCTTGCTAAACATCGACGAGTCTCTGAAGCCATCCTCCTCTCTCCTATTGTCAGTTCTGTTGCCAAGGTACAAGCAAGCGCTTTGCTCATTTAGAAACTCAGCCATTTCAACTACTATTTGCTCTAAATTCTTCTGTCACTCAGCCTTCTAACCTGGGTCAGAACCAGTCACTCAGGACTAGAAGATACCATCCACAGGGACAAAAATTAGATTCGACCTAAAGCTATCCAGAGAGGCTCAGAAATGGCTTCGCTGGTGATTTTCGCTGTAGAGGTATGGACTGTGCCTGGACCTGGCCTAGACGAGATGGTTCTGGGACCCAAGAGCCACAAAAACATGACAGAAGTGAACAAACAGGGCAACCCTGAGACATCCGATTCTCTCCTATCAGGGAAGGGAAAAGATCTAAGAAAAAGCAGAGGTCGAGGCATTATTAAATGGTAAAACTACTGAACCAGCCCAGCCCCGTTGAAACTGTCTCCATTCAACTGGACAGAAACATAAAAATTCAAAGTCAACCATTCATCTCCAACTTGCCAGGTAGTCAAGAGCTGGGAAAGCCTTCATTTCTACAGGTGCAATACAATTTTCCCTTGGGACTGACCTTTCTAGCGAAGGAAAGCCACCACTGTGACTTTCAAAAAATAGCTCTACGTAAAAAATTTCTGGCCTGTCAACAACCAAAAATTTAAACTTTCAGAGCCAATCGCAACACCACCTGGGAGATAGGACAGACTGAATTAGAAAGCCCTTTTGAGGGAGCAAATTTGAGTAAGAAAAAGGAGTTTTAGGACCTGAATATCTGTTTTCCTGATCACTACTGATTTTGTTTCTACTGGGAGATTTTTGCTTTCAGAAAAAACCTCTCCCCAGAGAATATAAAAATTTTAAAGGTTACAAGTGTATAAGAGTTGCTGTTAAATCAGGGATTCTGAGTGACACCCTTTTTTTTTTTTCTTTTGCAACATCCATTAATTTGAATTTTAACTAATACTGGTACATCAGTTTGGGGGAGGAAAAAAAGGCAGTACTGTGACATTTCAAAAACAAAGGCTACCAAAATAATTTGACATAATTACCGGGGTTTCTTGGGTTTGATAGATTCGAGAATGAAAAAATAATAAACCCTTGTGTTGATGTGTCTGAGCGCTTTTTAAATGTTTAGGGAAATACTTTTAAATTCAATAAATGACTGCTCAAATTTTCACCTTTTAAAAAAAAAATCTCATTTCCTTAACATTTCATTTTAAAAGTAAAGTTAAATAAGCATCCTTTTACGTCTTAGTAGCTCTTAAAATTTGGTTCACTGTTAGCATCCAGTTTCTGCACTTGGAATTTCACAAAAGGAGGGGAAACTTTAAATGCAATTCATTTCAGTTGACCCTGAGCACTGGACGGTGTGTTCAGTTTGTGCTTCAGACATTTTTTGCAGGATACTGTACTGTGCGGACACTTCTTCCTCCCACAATTGATTTTACATACCTAAGATCACCACTTCCCAGCAGTTGTGAACACATTGAGAGGAAGAACAAGTGGCCCACTGAATTGCAATTTACACGTTTCCTCATCTGAATGTGAGTGAACTTTTTTCTTCTCCTAAGAATGGAAAAAAGGAAACAGGATCTTTTGGAGAAGTGGGCTGTGTGTTAAAAAGCTTTCTCTAACAAAGTATGTCAGGGGACCAAAAGTGGGCAAGAGGGAAAACGGAACTTCAACGTGTTTTGTCTTTTAACAGGAGAACTTATGCTTGTAAAACACATCAGAAGTACAGTGTTTGGTTCTGCAAGTCATTTCTGTTGCTGTTTTTTCCTTGTACGTGTAGGAGAGGGGGCACTCGGGGCCGAAGGAAGTGTTCTCTCCACCATGACTGGGCGTGTAACACGTTTGCAACAACTTTTCACAGTAAGGCATGTGCTTTCGAACAAAGGAACAGTGGAGACAGGGAGAGGAGCTTGGGGCTTGACACACTTTACAGATTTGGTGCTTAAACAGTACTTTACAAATGACTTGCTTAATTTAAACGTCCATCACCGTAAGAGACATTGGAGTAAAATGAGAAAATTGGATCTACTTGAACCACAATCTTTTGAGGGAGAGGGGGCTGAAGGGAGGGAGAACATTAACTTGAATGCAAGTAGCATAAACCAAATTCGGTAACCTTGTCTCCTGCAAATGGACTTGAAGGATCCAGTTTCTTCAAAGATGAAGGCTGGAGACAAAGCATTGGATTGAAATGACAAGAGGGATACCAAGGGCTTGAAAACATATGGGCCTTTTACCTAGGTTTTTGTCATGTTACAGTAACACACTTTTTTTGGAGAAAACTGTGTACATCAAATTTTAAAAATTAAACATCAAAAGGATGTGCAAGTCTAAAAGGGTTCAACAGGGTTAGAATCCTGATTTGAACATATAAATTTACTCAAGCATCACTTTGGTCTAAAGGCGAGGAGGAAGGCAGGCAGGAAAGGGACAAAAAGAGGGAGATAATTGAATTACTCAATAAAAGAGGCTACTTACCATCCCAACCCATTGTAAGACATACACTTCTGACATAAGAGAACTCCTTAGAGGTCGAATAAAGCGTGTAAGCACCTTTGAGTAATGCACCTGCCCCCAAGAGGGGGCCCGAAAGCCCCAACGTGGGCTTAGCGAACAGACCTTTGCTAATCTGTTTATTTCCTTGAACTGGAGTCAGGCTGCGATGGGCTGCGATTCCCAGGACGATACATTTAATTAGAACAAAACAGAACAAAAAAAAAAAAAAAAAAAAAAATTTTTGTAAAAGCTCACCAAACTGCTGCACTTGTGTCTCTGAATGTGGGTGGCATTTCTTTTAAAAGGCAAAGTATGGTCTGTGAAGGAGAAAGGGAGAAGGGGAGGTGGGAGTGGGGAGAAGGGGCCGTGGTGCCTGGCAGGGAACCCCTAACTAAGATCCCTGTCTAGAGGGTCCTCAGCAACTCCCCAGCCCGGCTGCGACCCGGGCAGCCCCTCTGTCCAGAGTGTCCTTTTCCCCGCCCCACCCCCACTCCCCCAAGATTCACTTTCCTGCCGGCTGAAACCCTCCTTCCATTTCTAAATCTACTCC